AGAGTTGGACAAACTCAGAAATGATCCACACAGGACAGGACCGACTCATGCAGAGATCAAGATTAATGACAGGTTGATCGAGCTCTATCTTCGGGAAGAACTCATGTGGCGCCAAAGATCCTGTGTTCAGTGGTTGTCGGAGGGCGATCGCAACACACATTTTTTTCATCTAAGAGCGTCTATGAGGAGGCGGAGAAACTTAATCAAATCGTTGCAAAAACAAGATGGGCAAGTTACGGAGGACCTCACGGAGATGCAGACTCTAGCACTGGAATACTATAGAAGTTTATATTACTCAGAGGGGGTTTACGATATAGAAGAGGTACTCCAACACGCCCCGGTCAAAGTGGTAGCAACCATGAACGACCAACTTCTTGCCGCGTACACAGAAGGGGAAGTCAGGAACGCTCTTTTTCAAATGTTTCCCACTAAGGCCCCGGGGCCGGATGGCTTTCTTGCACACTTCTTCCAACGTCATTGGGACACTTGTGGAGCGGCTGTCACTAGGGCAGTACTCGGCATTGTGAGGGGGCAGGAGAGCCCGGAATGTGTTAACGATACTTTGCTGGTGCTAATACCTAAGGTATCAAATCCTACCTTATTGTCACAATTTTGTCCTATCAGTTTATGCAACGTGTTCTACAGGATAGCATCGAAGGTCTTGTCAAACCGTTTGAAAGTTATTTTGCCTGAGATTATTTCAGAGGAGCAATCTGCATTCGTTCTGGGCAGGATGATTACTGACAACATAATCTCAGCCTATGAGTGCTTACATTTCATGAAGAGGAACAAATCAAGGGGCAATAGTCATTGTGCACTCAAACTGGACATGATGAAAGCTTATGATAGAGTTGAGTGGAGTTACCTGGAAGCTATCATGAGGAAACTGGGTTTTTCGGAGCCTTGGATCACAGTCGTCATGAACATGGTCAAAATAGTTTCTTTTCTATTCTTTTTAATGGTAACATTTTGAAGGGTTTTAACCCTTCTCGAGGTATTCGACGGGGAGATCCTATCTCTCCATACCTTTTCTTGTTGGCAGCAGAGGGCCTTTCGTGCCTATTAAAGTCTCAGAATGAATCATCCCAGCTCAGCGGCATTAAGGTGGCACCATCGGCTCCGTCGGTGAACCACCTTTTATTCGCGGATGATAGCCTGCTGTTTTTCAAGGCGAGTGTTGATGGAGCAGAAGAGGTATCAAACCTATTGGATATATACTGAGGGCTTCAGGTCAGAGAATTAATAAGGACAAATCTTCCATCTTCTTTAGCAAAGGGTGCCCGCAAATTGTCAGAGATGCAGTCAAGGGCTGTTTACAAGTGCCAAATGAATCACTGAGTGATAGATACCTTGGAATGCCAACTAATGTAGGTCACTCAAAGATGGGTACGTTCAAACATCTGAGTGATCGGGTTTGGGATAAAGTCAAAGGCTGGATGGGCAAGTGTTTGTCAGCAGGTGGTAAAGAGGTTTTAATTAAATCCGTAGCACAAGCAATTCCCGTCTTTTCAATGGCATGCTTCAAATTGCCTCGAGGACTGTGCAACCATATCAATTCAATCATTCGCAAGTTCTAGTGGGGATGTAAACAGGGAGGAAGGAAACCGGCATGGGTCTCTTGGGAGGCGATGACGAGACCTAAATATCTTGGTGGAATGGGTTTTAGAGACCTCGAGCTTTTTAACTTGGCACTTCTATCATGTCGGGCATGGAGGGTGCTTAACGACCCTACTTCTTTAAGTGCAAGAATCCTGAAGGCCTCTTATTTCCCTCAAGTCTTGTTTCTCAATCCCGAGTTGGGCTCACGGCCGTCACAAATTTGGTGAGCTTTGCTTGACATCCTCAAACAGGGATTAATCCATAGGATTGGTAACGGCCTGAGCACAAAGATTTGGGAGCATAATTGGATTCCCAAGGAATCGTCTCTGCGCCCAATAGTTTCTCTGGTCCAAAACCCACCGGAGTTGGTCTCAGAACTGCTGCTGCCAGCGACGGCATCATGGAACTCAGCGTTGATCACATCAATTTTTCTCCCCACTGATGTTGAAGCGATCATGAAGATTTTGATATGTACAAGGAACATAGACGACTTCTGGGCATGGCACCCGGATAAGAAAGGGCGCTTCGCAGTTAGCTATGCATACAAGTTCATGGTTAAGACAAAGATCATCAGAGAAAATTGGCTTGAAGAGAGGAGTGGATCCTCAACCGGGAGAAAGGAGGAAGTGGACTGGACAAATCTTTGGAACATGAAAGTACCATCAAAAATACGAGTGTTTCTATGGCGTTTGGCTCGCCACTCGCTCCCAACGACGAATGTGTTGAGCAGACGGAATATGTCAACAAGGGACGCATGCCCTCTGTGCGGGGTAGCTGACTCTTGGCGTCATGCATTGCTAGCTTGTACCCATGCACGGTGCACTTGGGCTTTGGCGGATCCTGTTATGGTCTCCAAAATGGCGGAAAATGAGGAGCCCCGAGCCAAGAACTGGCTCTTCCAGCTTAACGAGGACCTTGATCGGAACCTGTTTGTACGGATGGTGGTGACCCTTTGGTTGATATGGTTTGCACGAAGACAAGCTATCCATGAAGGTATATTCCAATCACCGGGGCAAACATCATCTTTCGTCGAGCGATACATATCTGAACTTAGTCAGGTTCCTTCCCAAGGGGCTATGAACAACCCCGTTGAGGGGGGGGGGCGACAAAACGCACCTCGGGTATGGCTACCATCGTTGGAGGGAGTAGTCAAAATCAACGTTGATGGCGCCTTGGCGCGCAACAGAAGAGGAGGAGCAGTCGCCACAGTGTGCCGTGATCATACTGGGATGTACCTCGGTTCATCCACAGTGGTATTCAATGGAATCAGAGATCCAACAATTCTTGAAACCTATGCATGCAGGGAAGCCATGGCTCTGGCGGACGATCTTCTACAACGGAAAATAAAGGTGGCGTCGGATTGCTTGGGAGTAGTGAACGACATCAACAAGGGCACGAGAGGAGTCCATGCTGCCATTGTTCATGAAATATCAAGTCATTGTAATAGTTTTGATTTATGTTCATTTGTTCATGAGACTAGAAACCATAACTTCGAGGCTCATAACCTCGCCAAAAATTGCTTGTAATCTGAATGTAGGTAGGCACGTATGGCTGGGTAACCCATGACCCAGCACATGTGCCTATGAACATCATTGATCAATAAAGTGGGGAGGTTTCTTCTCAAAAAAAAAGTCACGCACGAGACTCCTCATCGTTATTTTCAAGGAAGTGTCGTCTTCTTCCATTCTTTATTCTTTTTCTTTACCCATTGATTGACACAAGTCCCCAAGAGACCAGGATCCCAACAATGCATATTAATGAGTTTTTCGCTAATCCTCCATCTAAAGTACGCCAAGGCGGCAAGGTCCTTGAGGGCGGCGTCGATGAGCCGAGGAGGCACCACATTGACTAACCAATGAGTCGATGACAGCGCTCAAAACACCGTTGCATGGCGACCTGCAAGACGTTCAGGCCTCCTTTGATTCATAGGATACGGAAATTATAGGAATAGAAAAGTTATAGAAAATGAGATGACATGCATCTCAAATTCTATAAATAGGAATTGGAAAGGAGATGTCCTTTGATATATTTCATAGGATTTTTTCCATTGAGTCTAGGCTAATATTTATTTTCCTATGAAATATGGAGGATAGGAAGAATTCCTTCACAGAAATAGGATTTCATTCCTACAAACCAAAGGGCGCTAAAGGAATTTTTTCTACCAAAATCCTATCCTATGAAATTCCTACAAAAATCCTCCAAACCAAAGGAGGCCTTAGGGTGTGGAGGCGCAAGGGCCCAAGGCTGGCAGTCTGAGTTTGGAGTTTTCAACCTACACAAGCTGCAATCCATTTATGTAATTTTTGAAGAAACTTTCTTAACCACTGTCTATTTTTTTTTCGTTGGCGTGATGATTGATTTGTTTTCTCTCTTTTTACCACCCTTCGATCCGCTAGGTAGAAGATAGAACTTTATTGTTTGAAGTATTGCTTAGTTTTGATGGCTGGAGGAGATATTTATTACTACGAAGTTGGGCCATTATTTTTGGATGGAGGGAGTATAATTTATTCGAAAGCTCAGGAGATAAGGACTCAGAGGGTTCACGCACTTTCTCTCCTTCCTTGTAATTTCTTTTCTCTAAAAAATCGACTTTTGTGGGTTGTTGAGCTTGTATCCTATATCGCATATCCGTGATGTACTAAGTTCATATTTGTTAATGATAATTTATATTTTTATGTTTCCACTTTAATAATAACTATCATAATAAGCATTGTATAGCTAGGCACGTTTTAACCCTACTAGAATAACTGATGGGCCCATCGTACCGGGTCGCACTAGGGCCTCAAAGATGCCAGGGCCGGCCCTGCCGGGGCGTGGCCGAATCCAGGTTGGCCCGGGGTATGGTACGGACCACATCAAGAATGAAGCCGATGCTTCATCTACTGTACTCCTACGTGGATGTTGGGGCAGCAGCATGGTGCTTCCCCCATTATACATGCCCTTATGCACAACAAAGGGCGTGTTTGGTTGTCGTAGTCTACAGTAGCTGCATTGCATAGCCTTCTCAACTCAGTATGGCTATGCAAATGCAGCCTCAAATGCACCATCTGCAAGTTGTTTGGTTGCCTGCATGCCCTCTTGCCTGCATGGGCGGAACCATACTAGCTGGTGTTTGGCTGCCTACATGTTAGTGGACAAACCCAAGGCATGGTGTTTGGTTGTATGCAACGCCTAGTGTGTGGTAACCTCTTTGGCTAGTTGGTGAGGTTACCAACACACTTCGGCATAACCATGTACCACACATCACAAGCAGAGCAGAGCATAAACAGAGCATCAACTACTTAACAGCATGGTTCAAATAACATAACGATAGTACCACACATCATAACGATAGTTCAACCAGTTCAACGCATAAAGCATAAAGCAGACTCGATAGTACTTAGGAAGGTGGTGCCCCGGCCCTAGTACCTGGCGGCGAAGTCTTCGTTGTGCTTCCCGTACTTGTTGACCACCTCAATGCCATCGTCGTCGAAGATGATGACCTTGAGGGTGTTGGGAGTTAGGAGCTTGAACATCACCATGTAGACAATCTTGATCTGATGAACGGCGGCGTAGGTGGACAACCCTGATCCAGGATCACCCTGCCGTTCATCAGCTTCACAGTCACCCTCCAGGAGAAACCAATGTTGTTCCTCAGCTTGAACTCCATCGGCACCGTGACGAAGTGCTTGGTGAAGTCCAAGGGCATGGGGATGCACTCTAGCTCTGGTGCAAGGATGAGCTTGCAGAAGTGACTTGGGCCACCCTCCTCATGGTAGTGGTCGTAGTTGCGGCGCTTGCTGCTGGGGGGCTCCTCCATGCGCTCGTCATCGCCAACCGTTGGCATCTTTGGTTCTTCCTCGGCGGTGGGTGGCAGCACCACCTCGGGCATTGCATGAACCGGCTCCTTGCCCTTGTTGTCAACAGCCGGGAGCACCTCTGTGCCCATATCATTGCTCTCCTCGATCTGCACACCATTCATGGAGTCAGGCACAACATAGAATTCATGGCTTATTCAAGAGCATGTAGTTAAAACGGCATGACTGTCACTCTTCCTCCCCTCCATCGCACCTATATTTACTCACCCTGACCACCACTACTTACCCACCTCCTCTCTTCTCTCACTATCAACCTTCCTCCTCTCTATCGCCATGAGCTTTAGCTCCAGCTCCAATGCAACCCCTTCCCTTGGGGTATTGGCTGGAGGGCCTTCTTCCTCGGGTGGTCGGCTAGTGACTGCACCAAGTTTGAGAACACCATGGAGGTGTGCTCGAACTTTGACTCCATGCCTGACATGCAGAAGGAATCTGATGCAGTGCTCATGAGGGCCACTGCACAATAGTTGAAGACGCTGATTCCTAACCCAGCAAAGGGCACGATGGCAGTCGACATCATTCGCTGGGCCATGAATCAGGCCGTCTCCGATGACACTATACTGAGGAAGAGGTGGTCCAAGTACAAGAACTAATGGGCTCCTAATGACCGCGGTGCCGCAGTGTACTGGGAGACGGCAATCGTGCCACCCGCGGTCATCGGTGGGGAGCCTAAGGAGGAGGAAGAACCGGTGCAGATGCCAGTGAGGGCGTCGGAGCCAGGCTGTCGTACCTGGCAGATCGACCTTGATTCCTCCGAGAACGATGACGACCCACCGCCCCGCACGGCGATGGACAAGAAGATGAAGGTCAGCCACTTGATCCACCGCTCCGCACGCCGGTGATGGCCCGTCGCGGTTAGCTAGTGTCTGTTGTGTACCCCCAATCCCACAATTCCCCTTCTACGTCATCCGTATCTACCTCTATTCTGATCTTGCATGAACCAGTATGAACTCGTATGAACTAGTATGAACTGCCATGCTTATCTACCTCTATTCCCCATCCCCCCTTCACCGTGGATCGAATCTAGCACTGGATCGAACGCGAAAAAGTAGTGCATGACGAACAGAAAAAATGCTTACCGCCATTGCCGCGGGCCAGGTGATGATCCGCTCACCGGTGATGGAGTCCAGTGGTCTTTTTGCTCTCCTCCGATCCGCCGCCGCCAGTGAGAGTTGGGAGAGTGGGGGAGAGTGGGGAGAGGGAGCGGTGAGGGAGGTGAGGCTAATAACTGTCGGTGCTTCGGGAAGCAACATGGCTTCTTGAGCGTGGTCGCGCGCGTGCAGCAGCCGCCGCCCACGTGCACCGCTTGGGCCTGGCTCTAGAGAAACTGCTGATTCGAGCGTTTCCAGGGAGCCAGGCCCAGGAGTGTTTTAAACATCATGCCATGCAGGCCCAACAGTGTATGCAGCCAACCAAACATGTCGTTTTCTTCCCGTGCGGGCCTTGTTAGGCCTCATGCAGGCAACCAAACACGCCCATAGTTAATAGTGAACCAACCACCATTACTGCAGGCCATGCACATGCCAGTTCAAAGAGGAGAGAAAAAAGAGGCATGCTAGTCCAAGGAGCATTTGTTTTTGCATGTCCAAGAAGTACGTATAATCGATCCGACGCGCCGCATAGTGATTGATCTGCAGCTTGTATTGTCTTCTTTTTAACAGTATAGGTATTGTCTTTCTTTTCAAAGTTGCCTTTCTTCTAAGCACTGTGGTGGTACGAAGGGCGGTCCTGTGATTCTGGGGGCCCAGGGCGAGACTAAAACTCAGGGCCCTTAATATGGATGCCATGACAATAAAAATGAATATACGTATATATAAATTATTTATTGATAACACTCAAATGCATATGCATATAAAATAATTTATACATACTACCTTAAAATTTTCTTCTAACAATCATCGATGCAAAGTCAACTATGATAGGGTCAAGGTCAATATCATCCAATAATTTCTTCTCGATGCATAATGTTGCCAAATCATTAAACCTCTCTGAACCATTGTTTACCTCAGATAGTTCTTCAGTAATTTCAACTTTGTAAGCCAGTCACTGTCCTAGTAAATAAGACGCGGTAGGCAATGAAGATATTAGGATAACAATCAACTTTTGGACATGCTCGAAATTCTCCATTGCAAACATTACACCATCTGGCAAAGTTAATATAAAATTCTTCAATTCAGAAATAAGATCATATACCTGAACATCTCATGAACCATTAAGAGAGAAATTTTGAATTTTGTGCAAGACTCTTCCAAGTTCAATATCATGCAATGACTTCAGGGTGTTCGAGCTCAATACTAATACAAATATATATCTTTAATCACCATGAGTTCTTTAAATCTACCTTTCAAAAAAGTGATCACCATATCAACCAAAACAAAAGAAATATTTAACTTGAAAACCTTCTTAGCTTCTAGGGTTTCTTCATAATAAATATTTCCACGTTGTGATTGTACCAAGTCATCCACAACTTTCTTCCTTTTCCTTTTATCGTTACCAGATGGATACTTTCTTCCAGACGGCATGATAAGATACAATGTCAAAGATAAATATAAAAAATACATCAATTGACAATTTTTGAACAGTGCCATTGTGCTGGCTATTCATCTAGAAGACTAGAAAGTAGGAACCGCAATATGAATATAAGATATACTTTAGAGGGTCGAACTATTGATGCATGGAGAGATAAGCGAGGTTGCACCGGCCTCCGGGAAATTGAATTTGGTGGACGACCTTATTGATTTAGGAATGAAAAATCGATTTAGGGGCAAAGGGAAAAGAAGCGCCATGCGCACAATGGCGATTAGGCAAGAGAAAAGCGTCGGCGACCGTTGGGAAATTGGAAAGCGCTGCGTGAATGCGTGCGTGATGGAATGGAAAGGGATCAATCAATCCCTTCTTTTTCTACGTGCATGTACTAACCTAAGGAAAGAATCGGAAGGGATGAATCAGTCCCTTTTTTTTCCTATGTGCATGTACTGAATGGATCGAATCGCTTCGGCAAAAAAGGCGCGCACATGTGGATCGAACTCCAGACCTCCCTGTGGATTCCAGCGTGCCAAGCCAGATGAGCTAGCATCCTACAATGGTTTTAGTGCAACGCTAGCCTAAACTTAGACAGCGGCAAATCATTTTTTCCAAAAAAATAATTTTTTATAATATATGTTGAACAAATTTTAAAATACAGTGAACTTTTTTGTAAGCAAACATTGAACAAATTTCAAATACACAAATGAAACATTTTGTGGTATGCGTTGAACAATTGTTTAATGTACGATGAACAAATTTTAAGTAAACAATGAACATTTTTTAATATACGTTGAACAATTTCATAATATACTATGAATTGTAATACATGATGAACATTTTTATAAATTCAAAGGTGTACTATTTCATAATATATGATGAACATTTTCTTAATACGACCAAACAAAAAGGAAAACCAGACTGCTGCCTTTCTTACCGTTATATTTACTATACAAAATCATAACAGAAATCTAATCACAGCCATAGGTTGTCCCGGTTGGCTAGCTGCACTCGAACAAAAGCCGTGGGTATGGAGTTCGACTCCCAGCAGGCA